ATGCACAATGTGAGCGTGCAGCCTAGCAGACTTACAGTGGCTGAAGACTTACTTGTTGCACTATAGTGGAGTTTGACTGAGATTTATTTTGGCCTCACACTGATTCATTCACCATATTTCCAGTTCAGGACATTTATTTATGTATTTATTTTAAGATTATCTGTAGCCATAACTATTTATCAATTTACAGTTTTGTACTTTAGCCCAGAGAGTCAGTAAGGTATATTTGTTTAATAACAGCTGGATAATTGGAATCAAAGCCACAAAATGTTTAGAATTTTCTTACTTGTTTTGTGGTTCTTGGATTGTTGATTAATAAAGGCAACCCTCACTTCATCTTCCATTTAAAAACTTTGTGGACACTTACAGTCTACACAGGTTAGGTGCTTTTTTTCCAAACGTAAGGCTCCATCAGTAGGTCTCGATCATAGCTTTCGCAGGAAAACTGGCATAGACTTGATTATTTTTCATAGGAGCGTTAGGTCTGATGGACCCATTAGCCTACTTACAGGAGGCTGATCACTCTTTCTTGAAAGCTTTTATTAGGATTACTTGTTGAAGCATGGGCAATATCCTCTTGATAGGTACAATTACCGAGAGACCTCCAACTTTGATGTCCAGATAAGCCTAAGAGAAAGTAGCCTCTACAATGCTTGCGAATCCAAATTCAGTGTATAGATAGCTCAGAGTGGTGCCTTAAATCTCAACCTTGTTCTGTTGTTCCTTTATTACTGTTTAACAGAGAGAGGAAGGTGTTCATAATTTTTACTTGTGGAAACTGGAAATGCTGAATGAGATTCATTCAACTCTCATCCTTTCTATAGCTTTTATAACTGTTGAAAAGGAGAGAGGGTTATGAGTTTGCTTAGCTGTAGACATTTATCTCAGCATTTATGATCTTTAATTCAGCAATGTTCTGTATTTTTAAAAAGACCTTTACAAGCCAAGTAAATGAACCTAAAACATCCTTTTATTTCCTGTTAGCTAAAAATACAAGAGCACTTGAAAGCTCTCAAATGTATAAGTGCTAGAGTGAAACTGTCACCTTTACATGTTTTTAACCTTCAACTTCCTTTGATAACTTCATCTGAAAGACCAACTGAGGAAGCGCTGACTGTCGTGGTGTAGAACTGTAAGTTCATCATGGCCATTTAATACCAGAGTTCGACGTCATTCTGTGTACGTCTAGAAAATTAATGTACCTAATGCTTCTATATAGTAACTTCTACTTAGAAGGTATATGGATTATTTTTAAATCTGAAGTACAAAGCCAGTTTCCCTAATTTAAAGTTTCAGAAGGGTTACAATAGCTTGCCGTGCAGACACATTTAAACTAACGGCTTGGGATTCTATTCATATAACTATTAATAATTTCCTTTGCATTACTGCTTTTCTTCAAAGTCTGTCAGATTGCTGTCATTGTACAAAAATAGCTAAAATTTCCTTGATCACTGTCAGAAGAGGGAATGCACACAAACCTTTACTATCCATAACTTCCTATGTTTTCTGCTCAAGTGTTATGCATAACCTAAATAGCTGAGTATGCCTTTGAAAGATCTGTGCTTCTGTAAAAAGGAATTCAGATGACAAGTTGGTGCGTTCTTTTCTATAAAATGGCTTAATAATACCACTGAGCTCACTTTACATCACTTTAATAAGCACAGCTGTCAAGGAGATTCCGTGGCTCCGCATGAGGATTAATACTTCTGTGGGGCACAGTACCTTGGAAAAAATAACATTTCTTGATAAGTAATTAAATTGCATATTAATTACATACAGAATGGAAGCTTTCATCCTTTTTGTGTATCTAGGCTAACTGCAATATGGGCTTTCTGGACTCAAGACCTGTTTCAGGAAGAAGCAGTTCACGTAATATTTTATTCTGCTTTGTCTATTACGAGTTACTTATTCTTTTTGTATAATTTATGTAATTTAATAGCTTAAAGTACATTTCTCTGAAAAAGAAAACTATTTGGCCAAATATAAATTCTGAAGCCAAGTAAACAGTTCTCTAGGACTAGTACAAGAGAATTTGCTGTACTGGGTTGTATGGACAGCTGTTGCAACATTTGTGATGGTATATAAACTTTTGGAAGTTCAGATATGAACATAAGCATTTATGGAAGGATTATTCCACATGAAAAAACATTTACATTATAACAGAAAAGAACACACCAAGCTATTCACAAGAGGCTTACAATCTTGAAATTATAAATTTTACATTTCCATGAGAAATGAGGATGCTATATAGTGTAAAAGAAGTTGCATTGAAATATGCCAGAAGCCATTAGCTTTTATTTTGAAAGCATTTTAAATGTGCTCACAGGTAGTTACCTCTAGTATCTTGAATAATAGGAACCAGTGTGTTTTTGTACACGGATACATTTCTTAATACAATTCTTGGAATTTCTGTCAATTCCATAATACTCAAAATGTAGTACTGTATAGATTTTTCTGATCTACCAAGGAAATAGGAGATCCTAAGCTCAATGAAAGTAATCATACCGCAAATGGCAGTCACAGCAGCCTTCATTTTTATGGTAATTGTTTACTTATTAGTTAACCTTTTTTGTTGTTTACGTGACAAGCAAAAGCAGTATATTGTATTTTAAAGATTTCCCTTTCTGCTTCTTGAAGCAGGAAACTGATTTATCTTATACTGCTGTCTATATTTCCATTTGTTTGGTATCCTGTATCTCTATGGAACTGATTGTCCAGGTGTTGTTAAACTCCTTATTTAACAACCGACTGGAGCAACATTTTCTTGTTTTGCACAAGGAGTTAATCTCTGGATTTAGTTGTGATCTCTTCTTTGCAGTGGAGACACTTTTACTTCAGAGACACATTAAAGATCAGAACTTTTGTCAGGTTTCTGTATGATAAAAAAGTTTTGGCCCCAAGATCTGTATTTTTCAGAATTGCAGGTCTACCATGGGTTTATGAAAAGTAAACTGCTGTGTAGTGAGGTTAGGGTCATGCAGAAGGCTGTAGTCATGAAATTATGTCTTCTGCAGGGAGAATAGACATCAGTTGTCTCCATTGGCCATGTATATATGTTTTGTATTGTATTAATGCAAATGTCTGCATCGTTTCAGGACTTCCAGAATGGGCTTGAATGTTGTCTTATACATATATGTAAAATAAAATGTCTAAAACTACCCTGAAGTTTAAAGGCTGAAAATTGTCATTCCTTGGAGAAGGTTGTAAAATACATCTGGTAGCTGGCCCGTTATATCAACTTGAAATATGCAAACACAGTCTTCATATCTAATCTAGAAATCTGATAGTCAGAGTCAAACTGGAATTAACTGCCTCCAGGTGTTACACTAGAAATTCTAATCTTGCTGAACAAGTTGACTGAAATTCTATTGTAGGTGCTTTAAAGATACAGGTGATTTTCTCAAATGAGCTCTCCTTAGAAAGTCCCACGCGAAGTCTTGACTGAAGCAAATAAAGTTTCAGTCTTTTAATTGACATTACTAAACTTTGATTTGTGGCATATGTCTGATCAAATATTTGCATATGTTTCTTTTCTGTTGTGTCATTCTTTCAAATGAAAGTGAAATAAAAGATTTATAGTCTGTGCAGTCAGTCAAATGAAGAGTCAAATGGAGATCGTTTAATTAATAAAATCCATTTATTGTTTCACCTTTGAGTTACTGGGAAAAAATAATTTCTGTAAGTGCCCTGATAGTTAAAGCTAATGTCTGAAAATACTGAATCCACAAGAAAAGCTAGTTACACATCATTAAGTATAAACATGATGTGAATTTCACCACTCCTTCCACAGGTGTTTTCCATTAGAATATGTCTGGTCTGTTCAGACCTATTTTAAGTAAATTCACAAGGAAATGCCTCTTTACATGTTTATCCTGGAAGGGCAGATAGGTGTTTTATTTTTTAAAGCAGTCTAGAAATTTTCTATTCTATTCTTCAAATGAAAAAAATATTTTTCAGAACATAGTATTGCAGTTTGGTAATGTATTTCTAGCTGCCATCAGAGACACTTATGATTAAAACATAATAAAATTCATGAAACAGAAAGGACTGTTCTTTAGAAATGCTGGTGAAAGGAGTATTTACCTGCATAAGTGTTTGTGTAAAAAATTTTATGTTCGTTATATATACTTTTATTTTTATGAAGTTCTACCGTTACACTTTCCTTTTGGTGATCTTGTAAAATATTATGTATTGATACTATACTTTAAGGTTATAAGGTATCATCTCTTAAATAATATGTTAAAAAATATACTAACTTGCTAGCAATTATCTCAAGACAAATACCTAACATCAATGATTTCCAGGAATAATTTTTAGTTTTGAAAAACAGCTTAGGTCTTTCAGACAAAACCCACATCTTTCAAACACTTTACCTGGTTTAGTGAAAAACAGGTAAATGGGTTGTGACTAAGAATAGTGGCAGATTGTACATCTAAATATAGACTACCTGGTCACTTTACTTCAGTGTTCATTTTCTCCCTGAAAAAATGTTTTGGATTACAAGAAACTTAGAAGAAAGTATTTTCTTTTGCTTTCATTTCCTGGCTTTCAATGTTCATGGTATCACAAATGACTGAAAAAAATACATTTGCCTTCTGCTCTCTATGTATATAACTGAGAGGTAGTAAAAGCATAATTTAAATTCTGTAGCTATTTAAATTAAATGTTTAAAGTGTGGTGTTGCCTAGACCATCTTTATAAATTTTGTTAAGTGTTGCTTTTATATAGTGATTTTTTTTTTTTCATCTTGTTACTTAATGCTCTTCAGACTCTTCCTTCAGATAGGAAATATTAGCCAGGAAACTAAACATTTCTTATTATTGTAATTTTTTTCATGACATGAATTCATTTAAAGGAGTGCTGTATATGTCATTTAACTGAATCTACATTTTAAGACATTTTGTAAGCAACTGACAAACCTAAGTGTCTTGGATGAGTTCTTTTTGTTAGTTTTACTAGCAAACTGTGGTTACAGTACTAAGAATGTTTTCTCCCAATAGCATCAGCGACTTCTTGATATTTTGGAAGCAGAGAAGGAAGTGTTATCAGGAAAGATAGAAGAAGCTTTGATGCAGCAGTCACAAAAACACAAGGTATTGCTTTTATTTACAAAAAAAAAAAAAGGTCTCATCTGCATCATGGAGTTTATTGGGAATGATCCTGTCACAAATATTGACAGAAAGAGGAAGCTTTCTCAAGCACTTTGTTTGAAATTAATTTTAGCCATTCCTCTATTGTGTATTGCAGTTTAATTTTTCGTAACATTTACAGGAAGTGCTTGACAAATGTTTGGATGAAGAAAGGCAAAGAAGTAAGGAGGCTGTGGCAGCTGCTGCAAAGGTATCTCTATCTCGCGTTAAGTAGTAGACATGCAATGTGGATTCCATGTGTGTCGTTACAAATGCTAATTTCAGCAGCTCATTCTTATTTCATAGCTAAATTTGTCAAACTCTGTGTTCTTATCTGCGTTTAAAAGAAGCTATTTCTATAAATCATGAACATACCTGCTCTACCCTATGCCTTAATAAAGATAGTCTACGTAACTTCATACATATACCATCCAGTAACACAAGAAACATCTGTTACATGGTTGGTATCTAGGGGAAAATGTGTCTATAATAAACTATCTTAATAGGACATTGGTTTTTGAACTTAGATTTTTTATTATATTTTATGAATGTCTAAACAAATAATCAAGTCCCAATGAATTGCAAGAAACAGCTTTATTTATAAGTGTAGGTATTTGAGGAACCCAGTATTTTTTGCCATTGATAACTTCACTTGACCAGTTCCTTAATCACTATCAAAGGGCATTGGAATGACCTGCAAACTTATTAAAATTGAGGGGGGTGTGGGTGTGGTTTGTCAGCCTGTGTTTGTTTATTTGGAACTTCAGCCTGCTACTATTTATTTGTAGATATTATGCAATGATTGGCTTGCTGATAAATGTATTTGTGTGGCTCAGCATGTGTAGAGCTGTCCTTATTAGTTCAAATTCAGTATGTGTCTTCTGATGATTTAATGTAATGGTTGAATATAAACATTGAAAAAAAAACCAAAAAGATTAAACTACTTCTTGTAGAATGTATAGCTGAGCTTTGGGAGGGAAGACGCATTTAGTTTAAGTTTGTATCGGCTACTTTGACACAGAAAGCACTAAGATTGTTTTTAGACTTTAGATGCTTGTAGTTAAGAGCAGGAATATCTCATATATGGAAATATCAACAAGTGTGGAGAGGCCCATGAGGTGCCTATTCTTATGTGGTTTCTGCTGCATGTTTTTTGTGTTGGCATTAAGCAAACTAGGCTTTGGGCAACCTGGTGAAGTGGAGGATTTCCCTGCCCATGGCAGGGGGGTTGGAACTGGATGATCTTTGAGGTCCCTTCCAACCCTAACCATTCTATGATTCTATGATGATTCTATGATTCTATGATATTGTGTTTTCAGTAGGTGGGAACTTAAGATCCTTGATTATAACTTTCTTTTTCTTTCTGTAACGATGAAGTCATTGTCCAGTTGTAATAGCTGTTTGGTAGCACCTTAAGATAAATTTAAGCTTATAGTTCGAAAGTGAAAATATTCACGTCCCATATCGTGTCAGCTCATAGATCTCATTAGAAAAAGTAATATCTATGAGTTAGGCACTCATGTTGGGTATTTTGGTCATTTATTCATGCTTGATTTGTTTCAAAGGCTGAAAAAGAAGTAGTGCAGGAGGCTGTTCTGAAAGCAGTAGAGGAGGAGAGGAGAAACATGGAGAAGATTCATGCAGAAGAAAGAAAAATGTGGGAAGCAGAACGTGACAGACATAAAGAGAAGATTGCTCAGGCTGTTTGTGAAGCCATGCAAGAGCAAAGAAAGCATAATCAAGTTAGTATATTTTACCTTTCCTGGACTTACTTTGTGTGTTTTATTTTTTCTTTTGAATGTCTTCTCAATGTTGTGATAGATTTTCTTGTGACATCTATCATTCATCACGACACCTAGTTGATATTTGCAATGCACAGTGATCTCATTAGTTTATCTTCATCTAGACTATGTGTATGGAGAGAAGTTGGCACATATAGAACAAAATTCGTGTGACCTTTTCAGGTACATAGATTGACGTGAGATGAATTATGACCTGTAAGTGCCTGTTTTTGTCCACTGACTTCAAAAGGAGCCCAAGATGACTAGATCAGATGGTGACATTTATGTTGTAGACAGTTAGGTGACTTTCTTTTTTATACCTATGAAAAAGATGTTACATTTGTTCCTTGTTCTACTGGAATTCCATTCTTTCTCTTAGTAAAAAGATATTTTTCTAAGACGAAAAATAGAATAGGTACAAAATAAAGAGAGGGTTATAAATACTGGAAACCTAAACCAGTAGAGAACCAGAAATGTTTCTAGAGTTACTTTTTAGAGAGGTGCTTATATAAGGATAATTATATGTCACTTACCACAAATTGAGAGGGACATTCCCAGCATTGCTTTAAACAATTGTAGGAATTGCAAATTAAATATATTATAAAAGCAGTTAAATTACTTTTCCAAAAGTTGAATTTCGTAGTCTCTGATGCTGGAAATATTTGGGGGAACAGTCTGTAAATTCACTAATTTCTTGGTGCCATACTCGAATGTCATAGTCTGAAGAATTATAAACAAGATATGTTTCATTTGGGTGTTGGAATTTGATATTAATGTATTTTTTTATGTCTTGAATAACAACAGCAACAAAAAAGACTTTCAGAATTTGAAATCAAATAGAAGTAAAATAGCGTATCACAGAAGTTTAAAAATTAACTCTTTGGATCAGACCACATTTCTCTTTCCAGCATTAAGCAGAAGTATTAACCTCATACTTAATCCACTACACAAAAAGCTGGTTTTTGAGGCTAAGCCATTATTATACTCTGTGTTGACTACATTTCTTGTGTAAATAGAATGATTTTACTTCCTGTATAGCTTGTTTATTTCTTTCGAATGTAAAGGTATCAAGTGGCAAGATGTCAGGTTTCAAGACTAATTTTACTATACTGATAAGTCTGCAGGCACTCAAACTCTTCTTTACAACAAAAAGACAAGCAGCTGACTTCAAAGTTAAATTCGAGCTTAGAGCAATTGCTTGGGATTTAGTTAGGTACAAATCATTTTGACTATCCAGAATGAGAATTGATACCAGTAGTGTAGAGAATTTGTTAATAGGAGAGCAATAAAGTAGTTTTTTACTACAGTAAGGAAAAAGACAGCAATTTTATAGCTTGTGGAACGTGAAGAGATTAATAGGAGGATGACTATGGTAATAAAGTTTGAGGACAATTTTGCTGAATCCTGAAGATTTTTAGTGAAGGAGTCCTGTAGCTGGATGCATGAGGTCGGCTAGGATTATATATTTATGGATCTGGGAAGCATGTAAATTGTCCCAGAGGTAGGAGAGTGGTGGATTAAGCTGACATAGTGACTCAGGGTAGGTTTACCTTCCCTGTGGAGTGTACTGCCACAGTTTCTTGTTGTTGTTGATAATTGCCTTTGAAGTTGTCACAAGACAGGATGATATTAGAAGTTTAATTTTGATTGATGTTTTCTTTCAGACAAAGTCTTAATTATACTGAAATTAAGTTTTCTAAGGAAGAAATTCAGGCCTTTCAAAAGGACAGGTTTTTCAGCTCAAGCTGCTAGTTGGTCAAGTAGTTGGATAGTCTTGGATTATCTAGTGGTGTACTTGTGATGGTGTGTAGCACTGAGGTATTGGAGAGCGTTGTGATTGGTTCTCCTGTAAATATCTTGCTCTTGATGTAGTCATGTGACATGAGTTAATTCCATCTTTTTAAGTACTGAATAGCTCTGACAACTTTGATAGTAACAGGAATAATTTATCTTATTCAGTTATATGATGATTTCTCCTTTGAGTTAGGTTCATTTTTCAAACAGCTTTCCTTAATTTTCAAATAAAAAAAATTTCCTTTTCAATTAAGGAAAATGCAGATTTTTCTTAAGATTTCCAAAATTCTCTCACATAAATGTATAGCATATTTGAAGTTACACTTTTTATTCTCCAATTAATGAGTACAAATTCTTTGAGGAAGATGGACTTTCATGTAGAAATTTGTTTCTCACAGAAATTTTCACTTGTTACCTCTGCCAAAGACTTACCTGCCTCCTTTAGGCCATTATAAACATACAAAAACTACTAAGATTCTCTGTCTGACAACAAAAGAAGTCCTGCAGAGTTAATGTGCCAACTGATAGCTTATGTATGGTGTCAGATGTGACTTTGGTTTAGCAATGACAAACACTCGGGACTACAGGCAGTTTGTGTGTGGACATTAATTTTTCTGGGTAGAGCCTCCACTCAGGGTTGTTTCTTATTTATATTTTTTTACTATACAATTTCTCTTTCAAGAGCCATAACTGCACTATTGACTCTCTTGCGATCATTGTTTAGACAACATAATCTGTCAAGTCAGCTCTACAATGGCCAAAAGTAAAACATATAGTCTAACATTTAAGACAGTGAAATGTAGAATTGTGGCCATGTAACACTTGCCTCATTTAATTCTTTATGCTGTGCTGTATAATTCTTCATGCTTCCTGCTTCAAAATTGTCACCTGATACTATTATTATATTTAGTACCAAGTAATGAAACAACCGAGTGTAGTTGAATTTAAGAGAATATGCAAAATAATCTTTTGGTATCAGATATATAAAAACAGCTTTAAGAGCAGTACTGTTATTTCAAGAAAGAGAACACATGATTTTGGAACATAATACTAGGAAAAAGAAGCCTTACTTGTTTTTAACAAAATCTCTCTTCTCTTAGTTTATCTTGTTCAATTTATCACCGGAGGAAATACTCTGTGTGAGAGAAAGAAAAGACATTTTTATAAGTACTTCTCTATCTTTTTCGGTCTTGTATCACACTAATGATTGTCATAGAATTATAGATTAAAATTTAATTTTATTCTGCTGTAAATTAATTTGAAGATATTTGCTTTACTGATTTGAACCTAAACAAAGAAATTAAGCATAGTATTAAAGAGAAGGAGTTTTCCTTCATTGATACTGTAAGTCTGCAAAATTGAAAGATCAGAAAGGGACAGTGCGGTCTTCAGCAAACAGATGAGGCAGAATGACTTGCAGCCATGGCACCCATAAATAACTCTCGGAATAATTAATGGAAAAATTTGAGGACATTCAAAATTCTATAATTTTCTTTGAGATACAAATCCACTTTATAATCTGTGTGGTTTAAATATATTTTGATCTATGTCAGAGTTGAATAAGAACAAAACACAAGAAACTGATACCCCAATTTGACAGCCAAACAGGACCTTGAAAGAATCTAGTAGTAGAACTTAGGGTAGAGTGTCAGCAGACATTGAGACTGGTAACCAAGAACCTACAGTCCTGTCTTTAAGAAAAATATTTTCTGCCAAACGGCTGTGAATTAAGAACAGAGAAGATACACACCAATGTAAAACACTGAAACGTAAAACTAGATGTACCGTTAGGGAAAAGGACACTGTCATATGCTTGAAGCAGGAGTTGGTAAACTAGATGGGAGAGTCATATTTTAAAAACTGCAGCACCATTGTGTATCTGTAAAACATATAAATGATGAAAGTAAGGGAAAATAAATTTCTGTGTTGTAATAGTATGAATTTGTTGGCTTCTCCTTTGCCTACTAGACCAGAAAATATGTTTAGGAGTTCTGATTCTTTTTTTTTTTTTTTAAGAAGGAATTTACTATCCACTATTTTTTTTTATAAAATAAAAGATATTATTTTTTTCACCAGTTTTTAAACACATGAACTATAAGAACCTTGTAGATCTTGGTTATATATCAGAAAGCAATATAAAAACCCTTAAAATATGCTAGTTAACATTTCTTCCATCAGGCAATTTTATCATAAGAACAATAAAGCTTCGAAGATCACAGTTCCGATGAATCAGGTGGTGAGATTTCCCTTCATCTTGGAAATAATTTCTTTGAAATAAGCAAAGATGAATGTTTACTGTGCAGAGTCGATACAGATATTTTTTTAGACTCTCTTTGTTGTTGCAGAGTGGCCAGAAAGGAGAGCCATAGTGGATGCAAATCAGGAAGCTTTATGTAAATTTCTTCTACTTGTTAGATATTCATACTTGTCAAAACTTTGTCCTAAAAGATTGTCCTCAGTCAAATAGATACTGAGTTGACAGATAAGGAGATGCTACTTCCATGTAAGATTTATTTTATTAACTTAATGTTGCCAGAGAAAAGTCTGGAGACTTGGGGACAGATTAATAAATAACTCATGATTAATATCAAATATTTTGCTACCAAATATGAAAGAGCAGAGTAAAGATAAACTTACAGAGAAAGTGAGAACTAAGACATACAATTTTGGCTTGATGGATTAACCTTGATATACCCCTTCTCTCTTTCTTTTTTTTCTTTTATTTTTTTAAGAAATTAAAGGATTAAAGTAACATGAATATTGCATTTGTTTTCATGACAGCTTTTGACTGTTCCAGTGACTTGGGGTCTTTACTTAGAGACGTAGGATTTTTAATTAAATTAAAGATATTATTCTTTGATGCCTTATAACTCTGAAGAGATAAATGAAATATATTACATCACCAAGAAAATGGTGAAAGTTTTTCTACAGCACTGTCTCAAGAGGCTGTAAGGTATTAGAACTCTAAAAGAATTTCTTTGGTTGAGACTGGCAGCATCTTCAGGTTTTATACATGTGTTGTCCAGGTGCTTAGTGTTTTTATAATAGAGATTTTTTTTTTTTTTTAAGAAAATTCTTAGTTTTGGAGAGGATAGTCATTTGTTTAAATCAGGGAGAATAAACTCTCTTTCGTGAAGAAAATGAGTAGTCTTTTGATTAAAGATAAT